GAATTCACCAGCCAGCATGGCTGGCTGAGGAATTCTGGGAGTTGAAGTCCACACATCTTCAAGTTGCCAAGGTTGAGGAACCCTGCTCTAGACAGAATCTTGCCACACTAAATCTATACTACAGCAACTAGTGGATATACCCTGGGAGATTCTAGGGAGTGGCTATCATGAACATCTTTTGCTTCCCACACTCCCCCTGTGGACTGTGTTGTCTCTTGTCTCCTTTCCCTCCTGGAATGTACCCCCTCCTTCCTGATAGCTTTGATCTCCCACATCACTCTCCTCCTTGTAGATACGTTCCATCACATCATCTCCTCTATGTGCATCTGTGCACATGCATTAGCCCAGCAACTACATATCTGTGTCCTCTTGTTCAGGTTATCGGGGGGTTGTTCCTCTTTTTGATGACATGTAATGGCAATTCCAGAGGTGATGTAACCCATCTCTAATTTTTTTTTTTTCAACTGGGCAGGGCTGGTGCAATTCTTTTGGCATGAATTAGGATGATGACATCAACCACCTTATTTTTTTTGCCCTGCAAAATATCATTGAATGCTTAATTTACCGGAGGGCCTGGGGACCCTGGAAGCCCTGGAATGCCAGATGCACAGCTGCAGGAAGGAAGCAGACTGGGACAAGCTTCTTCATCCCTCTGAAATAAGAAAAAGCGAAAAAAGGAACCCTTGGTGTGCAAAGACAAATGTCCCACTGTGGAACACAACAGTTCAGTCCACTCCCTCACCTCTGTTACCTCTGTCTACCTTCAGTTATCAAATGAACAGTCCACACTGACCCTTTGAGGGGATATTTCTTTTTTTTTAAAAAAAAATTCCTCCTACTTTTGAAAACCCTGAGGTTCCTCCAAGCCTGTTGACATCTTCATGTTGTCTTGAGTAGCATCATATTCCTTACATAAACAATTATATTTACATCCCAACCACCCACACTTCTGGAAAGGTAGAAAACATTGGTGAGTTCGCACACATCCCTCAGAAATGATGTCTGTGATGAAGAGAAGGGGTGGAAATGATCACAAGGTGATTGTATCATGAATCTCAGATGTGTTATGGAAGATGCTATGGTGGGAATGGATAGTTAGATACATGGCATCTATCCTGTGACATCTAGCCACTAAAATAATTGATCACTGCCATGTGTAAAGATATTACAACTGGTATAAATTTAGTGCTGAGGAATACAGACCTTTGCTATCCCTGAGTATTTTTTCCAATACAGTATCTTACCTTATAATAATAGTAGTAGCACTACACCTAGTAATAATACTACTCTTAGCAATCACAACATTTATTTCTCATATTTAGGTATTGCGAAGGAGTCCTGATGGCTTATAACAATTAAAGCATAAAACAGTATCGGTAAAAACCCTACAGGAAAACTGTAAACAAGAAAAAAATGATCTAACCATCACTTTAACATCAGAGAACAGCAACCCATATAGGGAACCTCAGCTCTCAAAGGGCCTTTGAAAATCTAATAGTAATTGTACTGTTTAGGAACTTCACCCATTGAACTGAAAGAATTTGCTTCTTCCTCTCCCTTCTTACCAATGCTGGTATCTCACAACATCGGTCCTCTTCTGGCCATGAGGTGCCGCACACAAGCTGCAGTGACTGCAGCTGAAGCTAGAAATGAAAGAGGAAGAGAGGATGGTGATGAAAAAGATGGTCCTCCAAGGGCTGGATGGGTGGGGTAGAAGGGTGACGTGTGGCTGGGTTCCTTTCTCCCCTAGATTTTCTCACCAGTGTGTTATTATGGCATTATTACTGTTGTTTTATTCATTGTGTTTTCTTCTCATGTTGTTGGTTGTTTTGTTTCATCCTATGTTCGCTGCCCAGAGTCACAGTTTGCAAGACGGGCAGCTATATACAGTGATAGAATAAATAAATATATTCCTACTGCTCTTTTTCATATTGACCGCACAAAAACCTGGTTCCCATTGCATTGAGGATGCCTGGCTAGCAGGATCAAATAGGAAAACCCTGCAACAGTACATCTGAATATGGACTGCCTCCAAGGATATTGCAGAGTCTTCTATATTCTAAATTCCTCACTCCATCTGTCTGAAGTTATCTGGAGGGACCGTGTGTCAAGCTGAGGGAGATGAAAAACCCAGCTACTTTATCCAAAAATTTCATGGGTTTGCTTAATGCAGCATTCTGTTCTGTCTTTCTACTGATTAAACTAGGAGCATGTCTAACATTTATTTTAAGAATTGTGGGATTATTTGTCCTAGTCTGCTTCCACATTAGCCATATTTACGAACATCTGTTCTGGTTGCTAAAATATAGAATGCACCAGCATATTATTGGATGAATAGAAGAGAAGAGCAACATCCCTTTTTGTGTGGTGTTTATCAGTGCTCACAATTACTCATGAATAGCAGCGATTGACAATATAAAAATGACAGGGAAATAAACAGAAGGCAGGAAAAAATTGCGGCAAACCCCATGCACGTCATGTTTTCTCAAATATGAAGTTTAGAAGTCAAACCAGGAAGAACAGGAAGTTCATAGTGATAATCAAATAGGACAGTGTAAAGATTTGAGTCAAAGATGATTCAGCTGCGTCGCCTCTTAGAATCAAATCCTTGAATGAATCAAGTGTGTCTGAACCAATCTGAGAGTTTGATGCATGTATGCACAAATGGGCCATTCTCTTAACCAATGTTTCACTTCAACAACAGAAATTGAAGATCTGCTGAACTGGAGTTATCAAATAAAAATACGCAGGAACACTGGCATAAAGACGTTCTAGGCCTCGCCTTCTGGTTCTGGAAGAACCTGATGCTATTCAGAGGCTTTTCCTACCAGATCTTATAATTCCTTTAAGCTGGGACATCCATGGAGCAGGGGGTGTCGAAATCTACAAGATGGCTGGGGTGGTATTGTGATGGAAACCATGGTCTGTTGGTACAAGTACAAAAGGGGTGGGCCTTCAATCATGTGCTGCACCTCCCATCTTGCAGATTTTGACTCCTTCCCACAAATACTCCTGTCTGCAAGCTTGTCAAATAAATCACGTCTTGTGAACTGGGCCTCCTAATGTTAAAATCTGTATTCTAATAGTATTCTAGTTTAACTATTTTTACTATTTCATCGTGTATTTTAAAGGTTAGGGTTATTTACTTCTGCGAGCAACTCAGAAAAGGCACAGAAATAGAGAACATTGATATATAATTGTATTTTGATTGATTATGTCCCATCAAGTTGGTGTTGACTCTTAGCAATCACATAGGGTAGACCTTCTCCTGGATGGCCCTTCAGGTCTTCCAACGATGCACACATCAACTGGGTATAATTGAGTCCATCCACCTTGCTGTGATTATCTTGTCTTTCTTTCCTCCTTTCCTAGCATTACAGACTTCTCTAGAGGCTAAGATCTTCACATAATGTATCAAAAATATGATAATTTGAGCCTGGTCATTTGTGCCTTAAGTGAGAAATTTGGGTGATTTGTTCAATGATCGATCGGTTTGTTCTCTTAGCTGTCCATGATGTTCTCAGGAGCCTTCTCCAACACCAAAGTTCAAAAGCATCAATACTCTTCCTATTCTGCTTCTTCAAAGTCCAACGTTTGCTTCCATAGAGTGTCATACGGAATACTGTGGCTTACATGATTCTGATCTTTGTAGGTATAGACACATCACAGCACCTGAATATCTTTTCCAAGGCCTTCATGGCCCCTCTACCAAGTGCTAGTCTGTGGTGTATTTCTTCATTGCTTGTTTATTTAATGTTGATGGTTGATCCTAAAAGACAGACATTCAATATTGTATTGTCAATTCTAAGGCTGATTGCTGTACCTGTTGTCATTTATTAGGTCTTCTTTATATTTAATCTTAGTCCCATTTTTCCCTGTGCTCCTTAACTTTCATTGCTAGAGCTTGCAAGTCATTTGTATTTTCAGCTATCAAAGTGGTGTCATCAGCACACCACAAGTTATTGTTTCTTCCTCCAATTTTAAAAATAATCTCATCTTCCAGTCCACCTTAATATATATTCAGCATAAGTTGAATAAATAAGGGGAGGCAATACAGCCTTGTCTCACTTCTTTGTGAAGCTGGAACCAATCTGTTTTGCCATGGTCTGTCCATACTGTGGCTTCCTGACCTGTATATAGGTTTCACATGAGGACAATGAGATGTTCTGGGATTCCCATTTCTCTAAGCACATTCCACAGCTTGACATGATCAATACAATCAAAGGCCTTCCCATAATCAAAGAAGCGCATACTGACTTCTTTTGGGTTTTCTTTGGCTTTCTCAATTATCCAGTCTGCATCAGCAATAATGTCTTGTATTCCTCGGCCTTTTCTAAAGCCAGCTTGAACATCTGGCATCTCTTTACAAATAGGGCTCTTATCTGCATTGGATGTTTATTTTGCTGGCAGGGGAAAATAAGGGTATTTTTCGATAGTTTG